CACTTTAAAGGAGGCTGTTTGGGGATATTGGCAGTTTGGAGGGACATCTAAACTGTTGTATCTGAGTGCTTCTGCAAAGACAGTGGTTATGTATGAATGATGGTGAAGGTGTTGAACAATGATGAAAATTTTTTCTTTCTTTTTTGGGTTTTTCTTTTTGGGTCACCCTGCCTTGGTGGGAAATGGCCAACATGTTAAAAAAAAAAAAGTTTGATAACTACTGGGTATAAGAAGCAAACTGTTGAATCAAACCTTATTGTATCAGTAGTGAACTTCAGTTTATCTAGTAGTCAAGGACACTTCCGTCATATGTGCTTATTACAACTGAAGAGACCAAGCATTGTGCATTGAATACTGGTTCCAAGTCTTTATTGAAATGGTCTTTATTTTATCATACTTTTACATTGTTGTGAAATTATATAAACTTAATGTTTATGTATATGGGTTTCCCCTCACTTTGTAAATTTGCTATTATGTGGTGTGTAATTTTTATTGATAATTCTATATGTGTGATATACATTTGGTGTATTGAAGTTCTTAATATGTTGAATTAAGTGTTGTTGGTCTCACTGAGCTTAGTATAGCTGCCATGGGCTTGGACCACATAAAACAGGACTTTTATGTTTGATGAGTAAGTTATGTATGATACAGTACTGTACTTACAGTAAAACTGTTTTTAAATATAATACAATAATACTATTTGTTAATTTTTTTTAACACTGGCCATTTCCCACTGAGGCAGGTGACCTGAAAAAGAAGAAATGCTTTAATTTTTACATATACTTGTACTATCACTGTCTTACCAGAGGCATGCTGATACTACAGTTCAAGTGCTCCCCAAACTGCAAATATCCTCACCCCTCTTCCTATTTTTATTATTTTGTATTTCATTTTTATTATTATAGGTAGTAGGTTGGTAGACAGCAACCACCCAGGGAGGTACTACCGTCCTGCCAAGTGAATGTAAAACAAAAGCCTGTAATTGTTTTACATGATGGTAGGATTGCTGGTGTTTTTTTGTCTGTCTCATAAATATGCAAGATTACAGGTATGTCTTGCTACTTCTACTTAAACTTAGGTCACACTACACATACATGTACACGTTTATTTATACACACTCATCTGAGTTTTGTTTGATTTTATCTTAATAGTTCTTGGTTTTATTACTTTTCCTTTTATATCCATGGGGAAGTGGAATAAGAATCTTTCCTCCGTAAGCCATGCGTGTTGTAAAAGTCAACTAAAATGCCGGGAACAATGGGCTAGTAACCCCTTTTCCTGTAAAGATTACTAAAAAGAATAAGAAGAAGAAAATTGTCAAAATGGGAAGTCTGAATGTGCGTGGATGTTGTGCAAATGATAAGAGAGAGATGATTGTGGATGTTATGAATGAGAAGAAGCTGGATGTCCTGGCTTTAAGTGAAACAAAGCTGAAGGGGGTGGGAGAGTTTCAATGGAGAGGAATAAATGGGATTAGGTCAGGGGTTTCAAATAGAGTTAGAGCTAAAGAAGGAGTAGCAATAATGTTGAAGGATAAGATAAGGCAGGAAAAGAGGGACTATAAATGTATTAATTCAAGGATTATGTGGAGTAAAATAAAGGTTGGATGTGAAAAGTGGGTTATAGTAAGTGTATATGCACCTGGAGAAGAGAGAAGTGTAGAGGAGACAGAGAGATTTTGGGAAATGTTGAGTGAATGAGTGGGGAGTTTTGAATCAAGTGTGAGAGTACTTGTGGTTGGGGATTTCAATGCTAAAGTGGGTAAAAATGTTGTGGAGGGAGTAGTAGGTAAATTTGGGGTGCCAGGGGTAAATGTAAATGGGGAGCTTTTAATTGAGCTATGTGTAGAAAGAGATTTGGTAATAAGTAATACATATTTTATGAAAAAGAGGATAAATAAGTATACAAGGTATGATGTAGCATGTAATGAAAGTAGTTTGTTAGATTATGTATTGGCGGATAAAAGGTTAATGGGTAGGCTCCAGGGGCAACTGATATGTCGGATCATTATTTAGTTGTAGCTACAGTTAGAGTAAGAGGTAGATGGGAAAAGAGGAAGGTGGCAACAACAAGTAGGAGGGAAGTGAAAGTGTATAAACTAAGGGAGGAGGAAGTTCGGGTGAGATATAAGCGACTATTGGCAGAAAGGTGGGCTAGTGCAAAGATGAGTGTGGGGGGGGGGGGTTGAAGAGGGTTGGAATAGTTTTAAAAATGCAGTATTAGAATGTGGGGCAGAAGTTTGTGGTTATAGGAGGGTGGGGGCAGGAGGAAAGAGGAGTGATTGGTGGAATGATGAAGTAAAGGGTGTGATAAAAGAGAAAAAGGTAGCTTATGAGAGATTTTTACAAAGCAGAAGTGTTATAAGAAGAGCAGAGTATATGGAGAGTAAAAGAAGAGAGTGGTGAGAGAGTGCAAAAGGAGAGCAGATGATAGAGTGGGAGAGGCACTGTCAAGAAATTTTAATGAAAATAAGAAAAAAATTTGGAGTGAGTTAGACAAGTTAAGAAAGCCTAGGGAACGTATGGATTTGTCAGTTAAAAACAGAGTAGGGGATTTAGTAGATGGGGAGAGGGAGGTATTAGGTAGATGGCGAAAATATTTTGAGGAACTTTTAAATGTTGAGGAAGAAAGGTAGGTGGTAATTTCATGCACTGGCCAGGGAGGTATACCATCATTTAGGAGTGAAGAATTCAATTCAATTCCAAGTTTATTCTCTATAAAGATTACAATGTTGAATTTACAGAATTTGGTTGTTGTGTGGTTTACATGTAGTTAAATAATGATTACAGAGTGTACCACTAGAAGAGCAGAACGTAAGTGTGGGGGAGGTACGTGAGGCATTACGTAGAATGAAAGGGGGTAAAGCAGCTGGAACTGATGGGATCATGACATAAATGTTAAAAGCAGGGGGGGATATAGTGTTGGAGTGGTTGGTACTTTTGTTTAATAAATGTATGAAAGAGGGGAAGGTACCTAGGGATTGGCGGAGAGCATGTATAGTCCCTTTATATAAAGGGAAGGGGGACAAAAGAGATTGTAAAAATTATAGAGGAATAAGTTTATTGAGTATACCAGGAAAAGCGTATGATAGGGTTATTATTGAAAGAGACACTTATGCAACACATGGGAATCTTTATTGAAGAAACGTTTTGCCACACAGTGGCTTCATCAGTCCAATACAAAGTAGAAATGGGTAAGGAGAGGAGAAGTTCGAGGTAATCAGTCCCTCAACCTGGAAACGATGTGTTCAATCCATCACTCTTGTAGGAAGTGCAGCATAGGGCCACTACTTAAACTAGTGGCAGGTCCCACTGTGATCCCGCCTCCTCCTGCTTCAACTCATCTCACCGCAGTATATAAGCCACCTCTCTGGCCCTATGCTGCACTTCCTACAAGAGTGATGGACTGAACACATCGTTTCCAGGTTGAGGGACTGATTACCTTGAACTTCTCCTCTCCTTAACAATTTCTACTTTGTATTGGACTGATGAAGCCACTGTGTGGCGAAACGTGTCTCAATTCTTCAACTTGTCGGTTTTCAAAACCATTTATCACATTATTGAAAGAATTAGAGGTAAGACAGAATGTAGGATTGCGGATGAGCAAGGAGGTTTCAGAGTGGGTAGGGGATGTGTAGATCAAGTATTTACATTGAAGCATATATGTGAACAGTATTTAGATAAAGGTAGGGAAGTTTTGATTGCATTTATGGATTTAGAAAAGGCATATGATAGAGTGGATAGGGGAGCAATGTGGCAGATGTTGCAAGTATATGGAATAGGTGGTAAGTTACTAAATGCTGTTAAGAGTTTTTATGAAGATAGTGAGGCTCAGGTTAGGGTGTGTAGAAGAGAGGGAGACTACTTCCCAGTAAAAGTAGGTCTTAAAGAGGGATGTTTAATGTCACCATGGTTGTTTAATATATTTATAGATGGGGTTGTAAAAGAAGTAAATGCTAGGGTGTTCGGGAGAAGGGGTGGGATTAAATTATGGGGAATCAAATACAAAATGGGAATTGACACAGATACTTTTTGCTGATGATACTGTGCTTATGGGAGATTCTAAAGAGAAATTGCAAAGGTTAGTGGATGAGTTTGGGAGTGTGTGTAAAGGTAGAAAGTTGAAAGTGAACATAGAAAAGAGTAAGGTGATGAGGGTATCAAATGATTTAGATAAAGAAAAATTGGATATCAAATTGGGGAGGAGGAGTATGGAAGAAGTGAATGTTTTCAGATACTTGGGAGTTGACGTGTTGGCGGATGGATTTATGAAGGATGAGGTTAATCATAGAATTGATGAAGGAAAAAAGGTGAGTGGTGCGTTGAGGTATATGTGGAGTCAAAAAACGTTATCTATGGAGGCAAAGAAGGGAATGTATGAAAATATAGTAGTACCAACACTCTTATATGGGTGTGAAGCTTGGGTTGTGAATGCAGCAGCGAGGAGGCGGTTGGAGGCAGTGGAGATGTCCTGTCTAAGGGCAATGTGTGGTGTAAATATTATGCAGAAAATTCGGAGTGTGGAAATTAGGAGAAGGTGTGGAGTTAATAAAAGTATGTCAGAGGGCTGAAGAGGGGTTATTGATGTGGTTTGGTCATTTAGAGAGAATGGATCAAAGTAGAATGACATGGAGAGCATTTAAATCTGTTGGAGTGTGAGCAGGGTAATATTTAGTGGAGGGATTCAGGGAAACCGGTTATTTTTATATAGCCCGACTTGAGTCCTGGAAATGGGAAATACAATGCCTGCACTCTAAAGGAGGGGTTTTGGGATATTAGCAGTTTGGAGGGATATGTTGTGTATCTTTATACGTATATGCTTCTAAACTGTTGTGTTCTGAGCACCTCTGCAAAAACAGTGATTATGTGTAAGTGAGGTGAAAGTATTGAATGATGATGAAAGTATTTTCTTTTTGGGGATTTTCTTTTTGGGTCACCCTGCCTCAGTGGGAGACGGCCGACTTGTTGGAAAAAAAAAAATATTATTATTATTACTTACAGATTAGCCCTAAGTGTAGTGCTAGATAACATCCCAAAGTTGAAAAAATCTGGGCGATGTGTACTTCATTCCATGGAAGGTGTGAGATGCCGGCCTGGTGGGCGATCTTGGCGTGATGTATGGGAAGTGATGGATGAAACTTGCCGAGACACTGTAACTCTCGTCTGTTCTGATCACCTTTTAACTACGCTTGATAACTACCTCCGCAAGCATCGATTCTGCCAGGAGTGTAAGAACAAGGTAATTTTTTTTCACTAGTCCTGTCATTTTGAGCGAGCATTTGGATTTTTTTTAGTTAATACTACTGTATGAAAGTTTTTTCTTTCTTTTGGGGTTTTTCTTTCTTTTTGGGTCACCCTGCCTCGGTGGGAAATGGCCGATGTGTTAAAAAAGAAAATGTTAATTTTAAGTCCTTGTAAGTATCTGAGATTAACACCATGGCTGGAATAAGTCACAGCTAATCCATAGTTTACAACGTGGGTTAGCTGTATATTGTTCCTACCACTGTATTGTAACATTGTTCATGAACCTCATAGATAACTGCCATTAATAATAGTAATGTTTACATTTTAGGTTCATAGAGCATTTGACATCTTAGTGGGACACATCACCATAGACCCAGCTAAGGAAAAAGGTTATGTTGCCTCGTTGTATGCAGGAATTCGCCGCTGTGAAGCAAAGAGACACATTCATGTGCCTGTTGATACTGACTACATAACCCATATCATCACAAGAGCTGAACCTGAGCTTCAAGGAAGGTAAACATTATCAAGTAATCATATCTTATTAGTAATTTATGCACTTCTGATATTACTTTTATCACTTTTAAGCACAGATTCTCATTTGCCTAATGAATTTTTGCACAATACTGTGCCTTTGAGCAATTTAAGGAATGCATTCATTAAAAAGACAGAAAAGGTGATTATGGTGTAATTTTATTTGTCAATCATCTCTGTATTTAAAAAAAATGAAAATTAAATGTAAATGATAACTTATTAACCCTTTGACTGTTTTCGACGTATAAATACGTCTTACAAGCCAATGTTTCTGACGTATATATACTCAATAATTCTAGCGGCTTCAAATCAAGTGGGAGAAAGCTGGTAGGCCCACATGTGAGAGAATGGGTCTGTGTGGTCAGTGTGCACCACATAAAAAAAATCCTGCAGCACACATTGCGTAATGAGAAAAAAAAAACTCTGATCGTTTTTTTGGAATAAAACGCCGACTTTGATGTGTATTTTCGTATAGTATTTATCGTTGTATTCGCGTTTTCATGGTCTTAGGTGATAAAATGGAAAACATATTACAGAAATAGAGATGATTATCATTACTTTTACGATGAAAACGACCTTGAAACTGAGCTCAAAGTAGCGGAAATGTTCGATTTTTACCAATGTTCAAGAGTAAATAAATCACACCACACGTCCAATACACATCAACTGGGGAGTCTAATATTCTTTCACTAGTGCACTGATATTATTTATACCATTTTTACAATAATGCAGTCGTCTGCATAACAGTAAATTTTGTATTTTTTTGTATGAATAAAAAATCAAATAGAAAGCAATAATAATATAAGAGGGGCCTAGAGATGTGACTAATGAACAGAGCATATGTTTTTTTAGTGCCACGAATGTCTACCTTGTTTATTCTGGACCCTATTTTGAAATTGGCATCTTTTTTATTTTGCATGAAATTGGCCAAATTGCCAAATTCTGACCACCATATTGGGTAGTCCAAATTAGTAAATAGGAGGTTTCTTGTACTCAGCTGATAGATAAAATGGAGTTCTAAAGAAATAGCTATGAGTTTGGTCAACTGGAACAATGGAATTGGCTGAAAATAGGGCTCAAAGTCGGCGAAATCGCCGATACGCACATGTCGCCGAGACCGCTAACTTCGCGGGAGCATAATTCCACGAGTTTTCGACCAAATTTCGAACTTTTGGTGTCATTACCATCGGGAAAAGATTCTCTATCATTTCATAAGAAAAAATAATTTTTTTTTTTTTTCAAAAATTGAGCGACATAGAATGACAGTTTCAGAGAGGGGCCTGAAACAGTCAAAGGGTTAAGTCTGTTCTTCTCCTGAGGAGCAAGAATATGACTTCCTGTTGATAGTTCTGGGAAGAATTGTCCTTGTGACTCAATATTGGACCACACTTTTTGGTTCATATTCTGATCAGGCCGGCATTGCTTTCTATACAGTCTGCCATAGGCAATTATATTTTAATTTACTGGTTACTATTACAAATATGTATACATTATTGAATGTTTACTGATATATAATATGTAAGATCTGATCTGTAATATGTAAGAGTTTTTTCCATGCAAAGTAAAGATATGACCTTTTGGAAAGAACAATTAACTGAAGAAAGATATAAATCTCCAAAACTATTGCAGAGTCTGATAAAGTGTATTCCAGATTACCTTATAATGTACTGTAACAAAGGAAAATATAAGAATTGATTGCTGCCTGAACTTTAGAACCCTTTAGACACTAATAACTATTAGTTTAGTGATCAATCATCCTAATTATATCTATACACTACTATTGCTATATACTGCAATATACCATAACTTCAGTAGAGAGTCACACTAAGCTCATCATTATTATTACATTCATGGGAGGAGTGGAAAATCCATAGGGGTCATTCAGCATCTGGAGGAGTGGGAAACAGTCAGCTTGATCCAAGGAAAGGAAGGGTAAATTCAGTTCTTGGGTGTTTCCCCTCATCCTGTCATCAAGGCCTTGAGGAGAAACACCAAGCAGAGAAATAAACAGGTAGTAATGCCCAGAAGACCCCAGAAAGTCTTATTAAATTGTGTCTTGAAAGTTTGTATATTGGATAAAAAGGAAAATACAGTGGACCCCCGCATAACGATCACCTCCGAATGCGACCAATTATGTAAGTGTATTTATGTAAGTGCGTTTGTACGTGTATGTTTGGGGGTCTGAAATGGACTAATCTACTTCACAATATTCCTTATCGGAACAAATTCGGTCAGTACTGGCACCTGAACATACTTCTGGAGTGAAAAAATATCGTTAACCGGGGGTCCACTGTATATCTTTTCTTCCGACTTTATGATTTTTAGTGTTATTTTTTTTATTTTAAAAGCAATTTCTGTTTCCTTAGTAATTTTATCATTAACTTTGACTTAATCCTGCTTTTGAAATTTGCATTTTTTTTATTACACCAGTTCACCTTGTAAAATTATTAGAATTTTTTCTATATTTTTTAATTTAAAATTTTCTTTTCAGACGGGAACGACATGCAAAAACGTTAGAAATAGCCCAAGAGGAGGTGTTAACGTGTTTAGGATTGTTTTTGCATGAACGAATGCAGCGAATTCACACTCGAATGCGTGAAGAAGAGCAGACGTGGGATATCCTCTTTCATGTAGCGTTGGATACTCTCAAAAGAAATTTTGAGGTAAGATGGGTAGTGTGTGTGTGTGTTTGTGTGTGTGTTTGTGTTTGTATGTGTGTTTGTGTGTGTTTGTGTTTGTGTTGTTTGTGTTTGTGTTGTGTGTGTGTGTGTGTGTGTGTGTGTGTGTGGTGTTTGTGTGTGTGTGTGTTTGTGTGTGTGTGTGTGTGTGTGTGTGTGTGTGTGTGTGTGTGTGTGTGTGTGTGTGTGTGTGTGTGTTTGTGTGTGTTTGTGTGTGTTTGTGTGTGTTGTGTGTGTGTGTGTGTGTGTGTGTGTGTGTGTGTGTGTTGTGTGTGTATGTGTGTGTGTGTGCGCGTGTGAGTGCGTGCATGCGTGCATGTGTGTGTGCGCGTGTGTGCATGCGTGTGTGCGTGTGCGCTCACGCATGTACTCACCTCACCTAGTTGAGGTTGCAGGGGCCGAGTCCAAGCTCCTGGCCCCGCCTCTTCACTGGTCGCTACTAGGTCACTCACCCTGAACCCTGTACTTTATCATACCTCTGCTTAAAGCTATGTATGGATCCTGCCTCCACTACATCGCTTCCCAAACTATTCCACTTCCTGACTACTCTGTGGCTGAAGAAATACTTCCTAACATCCCTTTGATTCATCTGTGTCTTCAACTTCCAACTGGGTTCCCTTGTTGCTGTGTCCCATCTCTGGAACATCCTGTCTTTCTCCACCTTATCAATTCCTCTCAGTATTTTGTATGTCGTTATCATGTCCCCCCTATTTCTCCTGTCCTCCAGTGTCGTCAGGTTGATTTCCCTTAACCTCTCCTCGTAGGACATACCTCTTAGCTCTGGAACTAGTCTTGTGTGCGTGCATGTGCGTGTGTGCATGTGCGTGTGCATGTACAGGCGGGCCCCACTTATGTAGCAGGTTAGGCCCCAGGCTAACCCTGTAAAGCAAAAATCACTGTAAAGTGAAACAGACAGCCTTTTTTCACTTTCAGATGCATATAAAAGCCTGATAAAATGTTTATGCTATTATATACAGGTACTCCTCATTTAACGACCTGCCTGTTTAACCCTTTGAGTGTTGCGACTCCTGTCCACAAACTTGCCCACAGGGTCGAAGAATTTATAAAAAAAAAAAAATTCTTATGAAATGATAGAGAATCTTTTTCCAAAGGTAATGAATGCGCTCTCGCAAAGTTAGCGATATCGGTGATATTTATGCATCGGTGATTTCACCCACTTTGAGCTCTGTTTTCGGCCAGTTCCATTGTTCCAGTTGACTAATATCATAGCTGTTTTGTTAGAACTCCATTTTTTCTTTTGAATGAGTACAAGAAACTGCCCATTTACCGATTTCAACTACCCAGTAAACTGGTCAGAAATTGGCAATTTGGCCAATTTTACACAAACTTCAAAAGATGTGAATTTCAAAATAGGGTACAGAATAAACAAGACAGACATTCCTGGCACTAAAATAACATTTTCTCTATTCATTACTCTGGCTTTCCATTTTGAATTTTTATTCTCACAAAAAATAGAAGATTTACTGCTATGGTATAAATAATATCAGTGCACGTGTGAAAGAATATTAGACTCGCCTGTTGACGTGTATTGGACACGTGGCGTGATTGAACATTGGCAAAAATCTAACATTTCCGCTACTTTGAGCTCAATTTCAAGGTACTTTTCGTGAAACCAATCAAAATCATCTCCATTTCTGTAATACATATCTCTTCCTTTTTATCAAATGAGACCAAGAAAATGAGAATACAGCCATAAATATCATAGGAAAACGCACTGCAGAGTCGTTGTTTTAAACCAAAAACATGGTCGGAGTTTTTTTTTTCTCATTATGCACTGCGTGCTGCAGGATTTTTTAATACTGTGCACATTGACCACGCAGACCCATTCTTTCATATGTAGGCCTACCAGTGTCCACCAGATTTGAAGGCACTAGAATTTTGGAGTATAAATAAGGGACTAACACTGGCTCTCAAGCCGTACACATATGGGACCGACCTGAAAGGGTTAAAATGTTTTCATCCTTAGCTTATAGCGAGTAGTGAATATATTTATTGTAGGTAGTCTGAATAAATAAAGAATGGGTATAATTGAAAACCACTGCATTAGTGAAACACTGTAGAGTGGGGCCCCTGCTGTATCTAAATGCTGTATGATGATAAATTATGGGGCTAATGTAGATGACTGTGTTAAAGGTTGATGGGGATTCCTAATCTTACTTAGGGTTCATTTTTGATCAGAGCGTAATTTATGGTTATATTTATGTACATTATGAGCATGTATATATTACTTAATGCAAAAGGAGAAACTTACGTTTTTCCTTTTGAGCAACCACGCCTCGGTGGGATACGGCAGGTGTGTTGAAAGAAAGAAGATTTATGTTCACTATAGGTTGGTAGACAGCATCCACCCAGGGAGATACCTCTGTACTGCCAGGTGAGTGTAAAACAGAAACCTGTAATTGTTTTTCATGATTGTAGAATTGCTGGTGTCTTTTTTCTGTCTCATAAACATGCAATATATGTGAACAGTATTTAGATAAAGGTAGGGAAGTTTTTATTGCATTTATGGATTTAGAAAAGGCATATGATAGAGGTAGGTTACTGAAAGCAGTGAAGAGTTTTTACGAGGATAGTGAGGCTCAAGTTAGAGTACATAGGAAAGAGGGAAATTATTTCCCAGTAAAAGAGCAACTCTGACAAACTCCACTTCATATCAGATTGATTATCTTTTAAGCTCACTTTATGCTAGCATTTACTTGTTTTACAGTGCCATCCATAAATATATTAAAGAACCACAGTGGCATTACACATCGCTGCAGCCAGTGGTTACATGAGGTTACTGTCTTAAGCTGTCTGGGAATTAGCGTGGGGTGTTACTGAGCACCATGGCTTGCTGTAGTGTTTTAGAATCTCAGGTTAAAGTGTTGAAGAAGGAGGTTCTACTTCTTCAGGAGGAAAATAGGCTGAAGCTTTGCCTAGATTGGTTTGGGAGTGTGAGATGGTTGTAGCTGGTAAGGAGGAATAGCTTATCAGTAGTGAGGTGAAGAGTGTCAGCTGCTCTAAGTGGCAAGTGGTTCACAATTCACGAAGAAGGAAGATAAGGAAGGTAAATAGAGAAGATGTGAAGGTAGAAAATTGATTCTCCGTTCTCCAGGACGAGTGTACTTCAGTGGTTAGTGAGGTTAAAGGTACCACTGACTCCCCTGCTAATCAAGGTAAGAATATTCTGATTGTGGGAGACTCTCAGGTAAGATATATGGACCATGATTTTTGTAACGGTGATAGGAAGGTCAGACAGAGGGTATGCCTCCCAGGAGCTGGTGTTGGTGACATAGTCAGCAGGTTGGGTAATATTATGTCAGATAATGGGAACAAGCCCATTATCTGTCTTAGTGCTGATGGAAATGACATCGAGAAGGGCAGGAGACAGGAACTGCTGGATAAGTGCAGGTCAGCCATAGATGTAGTCAGGTCTGAGGGAGGGGTCCCAATCATGTATAGCATCTTGCCTAGAAGGGAGTGGGCAATGAATGAATGTCCAGGGCAGGCTAGACAGGTACTGCAAGGAACTTGCAATCCCATTCATTGATAACTGGGACAAATTTTATGACAAGCATAATATGTATGCAAAGGGATGGGGTTCATCTCTCTGGGGCTGGAGTGGTTGCATTAGCTAATTCGATTGAGGAGGTCATTGGTGATTTGTCTAGGACTTTAAACTGATAGATTATAGAGGTATGAGTGTCTGTGGGAAACAGTCAGGCTGCAGTATTAGGGTTGAAAACAACAGTTATTACCAGAATACCTCAGGGATATGTTTAAAAGACAATATTCAAAATCAGGTTGCTAGTAAAAGCAAAGTAATTGTTCAACAGAGTTAGTAGAGGGCAACGAGTGACTACTCCCTTAAGGTTTACTATACAAGTAGTAGGAGTCTAAGAAATGAGAGAGGTGAGCTAAGGTTACTTGCAAGTGTAGGTAATATAGATTTTTTTTTTTTAACAAGTCGACCATCTCCCACCGAGGCAGGGTGACCCAAAAAGAAAGAAAATCCCCAAAAAGAAAATACTTTCATCATTCAACACTTTTACCTCACTCACACATAATCACTGTTTGTGCAGAGGTGCTTAGAATACAACAGCTTAGAAGCATATATGTATAAAGATACACAGCATATCCCTCCAAACTGCCAATGTCCCAAACCCCTCCTTTAAAGTGCAGACATTGTAATTCCCATTTCCAGGACTCGAGCCCGGCTATATAAAAATAACCAGTTTCCCTAAATCCCTTCACTAAATATTACCCTGCTCACACTCCAACAGCTCATCAGGTCCCAAATACCATTCGTCTCTATTCACTCCTCTCTAGGTAAGACACATATGCAACAGTTAGACAACTTTATTCCGAAACGTTTCGCCTACACAGTAGGCTTCTTCAGTCGAATACAGAAAGTAGGCAGGAACAGTAGAGATGTGAAGACGATGTAATCAGTCCATCACCCTTGTAGTCGTAGAATTTGAGGTTGTCAGTCCCTCGGCCTGGAGAAGTTCAGTTGTCTAACTGTTGCATATGTGTCTTACCTAACAACCTGTCGGTATTGTATACCATTTTGATGTTCACTCCTCTCTAACACGCTCACGCATGCTTGCTGGAAGTCCAAGCCCCTCGCCCACAAAACCTCCTTTACCCCCTCCCTCCAACCTTTTCGAGGACGATTCGTACCCCACCTTCCTTCTCCTACAGATTTATATGCTCTCCATGCCATTCTACTTTGATCCATTCTCTCTAAATGACCAAACCATATAGATATTGTTGCTTTAACGGAGACCTTGTCTAACTTGAAAGATGGGGAAATGCCTTCTGAATGCAACATACAGGGTTAAAAACTATTCCACACCGATAGGGTCAACAGGAAGGGTGGTGGAGTGGCGATGTGTGTCAGAGATAATTTAAATTGTGTTAGACAAGATATAAGATTAGAATTAATTTTGAGTGTGATTTATAGGCCCCAAGCCTTGATAGGG